ATCCGTATAGGAGTGTTTGGATTAGCCACAACGAGAGAAAACCAAAAACAACAATTTTCGGTTGACGACGTTCCTATACGGATTTAATACTATGAGCACAACGCACAATTTCTACAAAGACATCCAGAAATTTATATCTAAAAGACATCTATCAGAGGATAGAGCTGGTGAAACAGTGTAAGATGAGCCAAAGCTCGATGCTGTAGGAATCGTTTTGGCAGAGTAAACGCACAAAAACCGAGAGNAGCACATAAATAGACCGTCCGCTCTCCCCACAGAACTGCAACTTGCAACATATCATTCGTGAGAACTTAGATCACGTGGTAGTGGTATTGTTGACGGAACGGAGAAATCAAACAATCGGAAGCAACACACTTTGCAGTCATCTCCCTGGTTAATAACCATTAAAATCAATTGGATATCACCATTGGTTTTATCACAAACTGGATATTACTGGTAACGACTTTCTTCTCTGAGTATGGTATATGTATGTACAACGAATATTTATTCAATACAGAACAAGAGATCAAGACAAGGCGGGACGGCATATGTCGAAATTTGTCATGTCCCTGGCCATCCCAACCTTCAAGATAACCCTAAACTTGGGGGGGGGACATTTCTGAAAATATCTAGACACTTGGAATGTAGATGCTGAAAGCACACTTAAATCAAAACCGCAAATGAGAAGCTCACGTCATCTAACAAAAATGCGAACATAAAAGCAGCAAATTCGATAGAATACTTGTTTTACTTGAGACGAAAATTCTCCCAAAGACTCTCGTTTACCCTAGCCAGTGCGCACTCGGCGATCAGAAATAGAATTGTGATTCAGCCCCTCTATTTGCCAGTTACCTATTGTTATTTCGTTGAGTGAAGTATTTTTGAACAGGATTCAATGCTCGGTTACTGTCAAATAAGTTCCAGAACTTCTGCAAAGTAATCACACCATTCTTCAATGAATGCTTGTGTTCCCGCTGGTAATATACCTCAGAGGCCGTTTTGCCTGTTCTGTAGAGATGGTGATCCAGCGTTTATTGTCATTCTTAAACAGACTCGGAGGAATTTGACGTTTCGAATTCCATCACACGAACCCTAATTCTCCGCTTCTCTCGAACGTATACTTTCCTCGAAGATTAGTGATATCGTTGTATGTCCATAAAAGGGAAGCAGGTCATTAGAGTAACAAGCTTGGCTTAGCCCATTCTATTGTTAAAGGCACTAGGCGTTCTTGATGTTCAAGAACATCAAAACCCGCGTACCAAAGTGCATGGTTAATGGTTGTACAAACTGAAAACTGAAACTATCACGGAGTATGAAGGAACAGGACAGGCCACACACGGAACTCGAACAAACCTTCAAGCAGACTCGATGGTGGTCCACACCATTTAATCACCCTCGGCTTAGTCCCCTATTGTGCCTAATGCGTGCTCTGTTTAGCAAAGAAGACACAAAGTGGGTATCGTAGTCCGTATTCTAATATTTTGCTGTACGACAGTGACGAACACGACCCCTTTTCCTGAAATTAAACTCACACTGGCACTTTCTAACTTCAAATATATTTTGGTAATTTTCGGCAACTAAACACAAATGGAACTACACAACAGCCTCCGTCTATACTATACATCACTTTTGTTTGGGCCAAATAAGGTGAACATGCTGTTAGTGTCGTGCGCCGAGTTACATCTCCCACTTGAAAATCCGAGTATTTTGACGAGAAAACTAGAAATCGCACCTTCCATTTTTAAGTAAAATTTGTTTCTTTACTATTTTTGTAGGTCTTTAATAAACAAATTGTACAATTCTCATGAAAAAACCACGAAATATTTTCTGACAGATCAATTTCCGATTGTTCACCACTCGATTCTTCTTTTCGTATATCTATCAAGTTACATCTTTGCCCTTGCTCCTCAAGCGCTTTTTCCACAAAACTCTGATTCTTTTAAAAGCCTCCTATCCAAACAGAGTAGAGTAAGATGGTGAGGCACACTGCCAATCCAGTTGATGTACAACTTGCCATAAAAGATTCGCATTGATGCATCAGATCCTATGGCCTAAACCGGTGGTGGTGGTGATGGTGCGTGCGTGTGGGTGCGGCAGGTCAACGATAATCACTGAGGTCATAAATAACGAATAGAAAGTGGTGCGAAGATGCTTAAAATAGGAAACGTAGTAATCGGAAATAGACAAACCAGATTTGAAGACAGAACGAAAAATGAATTAATAACAGAAGACAAAACAGGAGGGATCATGACGGGATAATGAGGGATAACCATTTTCTATGGCTGTGATAACTGCAGTAATAGAACCTGGTTACGGTATTTGCACAATTTTAATTGACATAGTTTGCCTGTTGTCAGAATGGTTTTATGCCACCGCGTTCTGTGAGGATACCTACGGAAGACGTTTAT